TTATTATTATTATTATTGTTATTATTATTATTATAAAGTCAACAAATCACTCAAGACATTGTGAAATTGCGACTTTTTTTTACAAGTGAATGGAGACGGTTTTAGCTGATAAGACCCCGGTTATCTCRGCTAATTGTGATTAAATTGCTCCCTGTTAATAGGAACAGGTCTAGTGTTGTGTAGCCTCAGGCTGCTCTCTCCATGTCCCCGCTCTGCTCAGATCTGTCCAAACAGATCTGCATCCAAAAAAAAAAACAAAAAAAAACAACCTCTTCCCAGACTCCAAAGAAAAGGAAGTGGATTGTTTTGTTTGACAAGGTCAGTTTCTGAGGCCTCTCTGTGCTGATGTTTCCCATTTTGTTTGCYTTCCAGCCCATCATCTGCTCTTCCTCAGGTCCATTTGGCAGCTGCACGGTGGCCGTGTGGCCATTAAACTTTCAAACCAGCAAATTTTAATGAAGCGATTGCCCAAACGTTCCAGTTTATTGGTAGTTGAGTGAAAGACTGTTTGGCATAAAGCAGATGAGGTCGCTGACTTTATGAACAGCTGCTTTGGGGCAGCAGGACTCCAGCATATCAGCTAACTTATTCCAACATGGCTAAACATCTGTYCTCTGCTCTGAAGACAACAGAAACATTGATTTTCATCCAAATAAATTATGTATTTATTAAGGACTTCTTACATTAAATCGTTTTAGCATAAATACCGCCTGCTTCTCACTTGTAATTCCAGGTCGACGTGTGTAACTTTGCAGCAAAGCAGATTTAGCTCTGAGTCCTTTAATACAAATTAGTTGTGAAATAATTATTGTGTTATAAAACTAAGAGATGAAGCTTTATGGCTCTTTTGTTATGTGCTTGTTTCAACATCCTCTTATCTTTATTATRACCSCTGCACGCGAAGCATAAGCGGGAGTCATATTGATTTTGTACTGTTTTTTTTTTCCTCCAGAGATTTTTGGTCAACCGTAGCACAAAATTGGCTGCACCGATCCAACATGAAATTTGGCAGGACTGTAGATGAGTCCGACCTACAYTGCACCAGCCAACGGTTTTACGATGCACCCCATATTTGAGGAGAGGGCTCCATCCAAAGGGGGTGTCTGGATATGCAAAAATGTTTATAACTCAGAAACTGTTCAACGTAGAAGCTTCAAATTTCTTTTGTTGTTTAGCTCTGATGAAGCTCTATCCATCAGCCCCACCAATCAGTGCCCCCCTCCCCCCGGACCCCCAATTTATCTGAAAAAGGGGTATCTGGACATACAAAAATGGTTATTGCTCAAAAACTATTAAACATAGGAGCTTCAGATTTTTTTTCCATTTTTTTTTTTTTTTTTTGTTGTTGTTTAGCTCTGATGAAGGGCTATCTTATCAGGCCCACCAATCAGTGCCCCCACCCACTCGGACCCCAAATTAACCTGAAAAAGGGGTGTCTGGACAAACAAAAATGGTTATAACTCAGAAACTGTTCAATATAGGAGCTTCAAATTTCTTTTGTTGTTTAGCTCTGATGAAGCTCTATCCGTCAGGCCCACCAACCATTCCCCCCCCTCCCCCGGACCCCCATTTTATCTGAAAAAAGTGGTATCTGGACATACAAATAGGGTTATTGCTCAAAAACTATAAAGCATAGGAGCTTCAGATTTTCTTTGATTGTTTAGCTCTGATGAGGGGCTATCCATCAGGTCAACCAATGCCCCCCCGCAAAAAAAAGAAGAAAAAAAAAGACCCCCTCTCAAGCCACTACGATTTTGGGAAGCACCTAGTAGCATGACATTTATTAGGAAATAAAGACTTCTGAGTTCTGGTGCATTTGTGCATGCAGGAGTCATTATGTTACCACTGTGTGGTGTCTAGTTTGTTTCCTTATTCAGGTTTCAGCTCTTACTTTATTTTTCTGTGACTTAGTGTCACTGTAGAATCAGTGTATGTCTGCACTGTGCTCGTCAGACATTCTTTTACATGWAATGATTCACTGATGTCTGAGTGGATGCTTTGTGTTCTTTTTTTTCATATTGTTGTCCTTTTTCAAAATACATTTAGCTTCTAGTCCACAAAGGTGACAATGACTGGTTTAAGCACTCCCAAAGCTGAGAAGTTTCTCTCGTCTTTGTCATCCGCATCTTATTTTTGTCTCAACAGATAATGGGTTCTCTTCGAAAGAAGCTGGTAATTGTTGGGGATGGCGCTTGCGGGAAAACGTGTCTTTTGATCGTCTTCAGTAAAGACCAGTTTCCTGAGGTCTACGTCCCAACAGTGTTCGAGAACTACATCGCCGATATTGAGGTTGATGGAAAACAGGTTCGTAACATTGACACTTCAGCTGAGATTTACTCAAGTTAGCATTTTCCTGTRAAAAAAAATAAAAAGCATTTTCTAAAACACTTCATATTGTTCCATATTAATCTAATTTTAAGACTTGAAGTGAAACATTTTCACATTAAACTGCATTTTTGTTTGGGAGCATTCTTTCTATACAAGTTTAATCAAAACTGTTTCACAAAACTTGGTGTCATTGTGACATAYTGTATTGTTGATGCATTTTTTAGCTAGTGATAGCTACTCTAAGAACATTATAAAAGGCTGAAGTTCAGCTTTATGTTCTCTTCAAAAACTAAAAATCGCTCCAACATTAATTTATTAATGTATTTATGATTACTGATCCACAGCTGAATGATTTCTGCTTGAGGAGAAGCTCCTGGTCAGATGAAAGAAGTTGTAAAACCAAGTAATAGTTTGGCTTTTCTCCATACTGTATTTTACACCTTGGAACTGGACCAAAGAGATGACCTATTCTGTTGAGGGACTTTGTTCCCGTAATCTGACCATTGCTGCTGGATCACCACTTGGCAAAACAGGAAATGACTCAGCTTCCTGTTCAGACAGGGAACAATGTTGTCTCCAGGCAAACCCCCACCCCTCCCTCAGGACCCTCCTCCTGCTCTTACCCGATAAGTCCCTCATTTCCTGCCCTTGTCCTGGTTGCTTTTAGATGTAGGGAGGTTAAAGAAGGGTTAAGTGCTGTGGTCTGGATTGAAAATATAAATGCGTGATGAAGGTTGGTTGTTCCATGAGAATCCCGCTCTCATAAAATCATTTGGGTTGTGTTTTTATTCAGCTYCTAAATTTGAGTTCTTTCGCCTGAAGTGAAAACATTCACACCTTTTTATAGACTGAACACAATCTTAAAAAAAAGGTTATTTTATTTTTTTCCTTCCCAAAGTCTCCTGTTTTCACCTGCAGTCAGAACAGAATGATCTGGTTGCTCATAAAGTCTGAACGTTGTTCTGTTCGACAATCTCCCGCCCTCTGCCTCTGCAAACCTCTATTTTAGGACCGTTCGCTGATTCTTGGGCTCAATGTGGGCACTTTTTAAAGTTCTATTACTGTAACTTAGAAAAAGTTTACTTTTACTGAACCTAGTGAGTCAAATAATGTAAACTCATTGGGTCMTTAATCTCTGAAAAAAGGACAGAGGATTCCTGGTTTGATGCGCTCTAATCTCCCACTTACCCTAATTGAAATGAGTCAGCTACGTGATTTGATAAGGAGAGTCCCTGGGTTATTTTTGTCTCACTGACAACATACCAGCCTGCTGTTATAGGAAAATGTCTCTTTACTGAATTCCTATGAACATGAACCCTATTGTGAGGAAAATAAACTTATCGAAAGTTKCAATCATGATGCAAAATTCTTGTAACCAAAGTAGGAAAACAAGTTCTTTGCAATCCTGACTATAATTTGCTGACTCATTTTCATAAAAACAAAGCTTTGGGAATTTTTTTTCAGATGCTTCACATGCGTCATCTCTGATATTCATAGCACTGTGCTTGAGAAAAAATAAATAAATCTTCAAGCCTTCTGCTGTCACAGGTCCAAATGTCGTCAGTCAGCGAKAAGGTTTTGTTTGCATTCTTTTAGAAGGAAAAATATAACATAATTTGAATAAAACTAATTA